AGATATTATGTGACAACGTTATTAAGTATTCAGATGTTATTAAATGTTTAAACACAGGAAGGCTTATGTCTTGTAATTGGACCCTTTAATGGTGTATCTTTAATAGTAACGAATGGCACACACGATTCGACGACGATTGGCGTGTCCTACATGACGATTACCTACCGTTATAAGCAGATTTGCATAGACGTGCAATATGTGGAATTTTGCTTCGAAGTGACAGCTAAATCCACTAATATCCGCCAACACGTTAATATGATTTGTAACTCTCCTGTGCACGTGTGTGCATCGTGGATAAAGCCATACTGAATCCACACCCATTCGCCGATATGTCTGCCTGTTAATGTTATTATTAGTATTATTATTGAATAAGCGAAAACATATTTGTGGTGCACGGAGGAGGGCGAAAGGCATGCAATTCCGCAATGCAGGTTAATCTGCTTAAGACACGCATTTCCCTTCTCTTTGAAAGCACATTCACACACGCGCGCGCGCGCGCGCGCGCGCGCGTGTGTGTGTGTGTGTGTGTGTGTGTGTTGTATATAATATATATATATATATATGAATTTATTAAGTACGTATGCTTAATTTGAAACAAAGCTTTGAAACAATCGTATTAAAGACACATAATCATTTTAATTTAATTATCATTCATTAATAATTATCACACATTATTTATTATAATAATGATTTATTATTGAAAATTGTTACTAATAATTAATTATTATTTATTAATTATTATGCACTGAAGATCAGTTACCTGATGAACTGTACTTTTGCCTATCAATTTTATTATATCGATGAATTTTGTTGGACAGTTATTAAAATAAAGTTCAAATGAGTATATTTACATTTCCATTGTGTTTCGATAACATAATTAATTATATTGAAATTATTAGAATTAATTTATAGATTAATTTATAGAAAAATGAAAGTATATGTAGAAAGTGTGTGGTCAAGCACCTTCGAGTATGTACTGTTGCTTTTTTAAATCATTTTATTTCAAGAAGACAAATTTATCATTTCAAATATTTTTCTTCCTGTCACTTATTGGCAGATGATTAATAATTTTCCTGATCTACCCGTAAACTAGCCGATAAATACACGATGACTGATAAATGCCACGCGAAGCCAAGGAAAAGACGCAACACGTTAACTTCAAAGGATTAAATGTTGACAAGCGAAGACATTACAGTTGCATTAATTAATCGGGCACGCGGAGGACTTATCGGTAATGAAACGGTCGCTTGATTAAGATGCAAACGAGCCGTTTCTCACGTACGTGCGTCGGCTCGAGCCTCGCGTCGCTTCGTTTTAGTCGTCTGCCCCTCCGATTGCGAGTCCATAAATCTCAATCCGTAAACTCAAACACCGGCGGAATTGCAAATCGTAAGTAACAAACTGCGGCGCAAAGACTCGCGGCATCACAACGAGGACGGACGGACGGACGGACGGACGAATAGCCAATCTGCTCTTTGAAGCGGAGCGAACGAGAATGGTAAGGCGTCTCTCGTACCGTCGCCCACCACCGTCGTCCTCGCGCCGCCACCGCGTCGCGCCTTTGTCAATATTAGGTTTCCCTGTGATTACGTAATAAAGTAAACGTCGTTTTAACCCCTTTAGTCGGCGCTATCGACCGCCGTTCGAATTAGTTCGGTGCAAGTCATGTAAATTAGTCCCGAGCCGTAACTCAGGGGGTGGAAATTGGGGAAAGTGATGGCGGCGGCGGCGGCGGCGGCGGCGGCGGCGGCGGCGGCGGCGGCGGCGATGGCGGCAACGGCAATGTCGGGGACAAGGTGGCCTTAGTGCCAGTGGTGACGGGTTAGAATGTCTGAAATATCACGTTAGCAATCGGGCTGTCTAGGCGCGACGGCGGCGGCGACGGTCGCGGCGCGATTAAACGAGTTCTTTTTTGCACAACAAAGATGTCTCCAAGATGAGAGATGATCAAATTGCAAGGATCTTATTTGTAGGATCATAATTGAATTATTTACATATACGAAGCCTTGTCTAAAATAAAATCTGAAAATAATTTTATGTAAACCACAAATATGTATGGCTTATATTTATAAATATTTATTTAATTATAAATTTGAAATTTACTCTCAAATTATCTTATTCAGTTTAAAAACAAAATATAATGTGAAAATAATGTAATTTTACTAGCTTTTATCTTTACTTATGATAGAAATCATTCAATTGACTCGAGAAGTTCAGAAACTCCATTTATTCGATAAGCCAGATTCTTCAGAATGGAAAAAGATATTGTTGTGCGAGGGATTTCTGTTTGAACTGGTATAATTCCACGCTTGCTGGCTCCACGCAAGCTGTCGAAGCTTATGGTTTTTCTATCCATAACGTTGAGTTTACTTGATAAAAATATGGTAACTTATGTAATTCAATTTTGTGAGAAACAAGATATGTGCTGCTTCAAATATTTTTTAAATTTAATTTAATTCAAAGTGATCGAAAAATTATTTCACTGGGCAAAAATTTTTTGTTTTGTATATCTGTAAATATAAATATTGCGAGAAAGTAGCATAATTCTCAAAAATCGTGATAAGATATGGCCTTCCAAAATAGCGGTGAAATCCTCGTTTTATTCCAGAACGCGGGCGCTTTATCCGTCAATAAATTCATGATAAAGCTGAAATTACGAGCGATGGAGGTATATGGAGCGTATGCACGCGGCATAATTCTGTAATCGATCTTGAATTATTGAGTGGAAGTAAAACTGTAGGGCGAAATAATAATCGGTGAGGATTTCACCGCGGGCAGCAAGATAGAAATCTGCTTTAATTAATTTCATTATGCACTCATCTCCGGATGAACGGAACCTACCGTAATGACGGGGAAGGGGGGGCAGGAGGGGGGAAAGGGTCTATGGGAGCGAGGCAAAAATGCAACACCACCCTTTTTAATTAATAAATGTCATTTATGAGGCGAATACACGTCCGTTACTCCGATTGATGCTATTCAAGATCGACAAGTTTTCCCCCCGACATCACGCTCCGTTCGACGTCACGTTGGAAATATGCCGTTCTCGGCGAATAATTACCGCGATCCGCAAATTAGTTTAAAAGAACGACGAAGATAGATCGTTTCCGTACGGATATTTTCGGTCCATACAACTTGTGACGCTTATCGCCATCCATATCACGCCGTAAATCAAGGAACTTCCATAATGTATGGTCCTATAAATACAATAGCCCAAAGCGTCCGACGGCTGTACGCAGCAACATTTACCATTACCGATTTGCGCGGCGCTTTCAGTATCCGCAAAACCATCGTTCGCGGTCATTTTGCGCCGTTATCGACAATCGCCTTACTCGCGCCTCTATAAATTCTCAGTCACATCGCGTGCAACGTACGGGTATAGTCGAGGGCAACGCAATGGATCCCGCAATTTTCCCCGGGTTCAACGCACCCCGGATGAAAATCTTTATCCGCGCGACTGCTGGAAAATTCAGAGAACGCGCGCGAATAATAGCTTACAACATTCCGCGAGATTGAGGTATGGATGTGATTTGATTTAAAAACTTTATTCGTGTGGTTTGTCCAATATCGAAGTCAATAATATTTTATTTCATTATATTATATTTGTCTTCGTATTTCCTCTTAAAATTAATTTTTTTCAAAACTCACAGAAACTTTTCGAAATGCGTTATACTTAATATTCTCATTTTATTAATATATATATATATATATGATTCTAAAATTATTCTAATCTTTAAGGCGTGTTGAATCATTTGTTATCCTAGGCGAAGAGTCAATATTTTGGTAGTATATAATTCTCGACGTTCTATATGAAACCGGCGACAATTTTCCGAATAACTTCAATTCCTCGTGTGCGAGCGAAGTGCACGCCGATGATGTATCGCTTTATAGAAACAAAGAGGATTTATCAACGTCAATTTGGCGTGCAGGAAGGTACGCGTCTTGTGGCCAGCGACCCGCTATAACGAAGAAACGAGCGGCGGTCGAGGGCAGCCGGACGGTTAATTTTACTCGCGCCGTTATCGCGAGAACGTTAGAACAACGAGTGGGGTTAATTAATTGCGGACCTTTTTTAATTTGTCTTGCTAGACGCCGGGATTACCGCGAAATTTTTAAACCGATACATCCAGTCGAGAAGCGGAAACGGTAAATTGGAGATACTTTGTTGAAATGCGAAAGGGGACCTGGTGGAAATTTATTTAACTCGGAAAAGTCCGCAGTGATAAAGAAATGTGATGATAAAGAGTGCACTTGCTTTAAAAAAAATTCTCCCCTTCCCCTTCGTGTGAGGAGAAATTCATATCATATATCGTCCAGATCATCGATTATTTTACTTTGCTTCATATATTTTTGTGCTTAGCGATTTACAAAGGGAGTTTACGTATGGAAAAGATTCGCACCCTCATTGCTAAGTCGCCTTGAGAGAGAAATACTTGAATCATTCTGAAAAAGAGCGCGCAAGATGGGACACAAGATTAATTGTCCCCGCTCTAAATTAAGTTATTCACTTTGTTATGGTACTTGAGCTATCGCGCGGCAAGATACATGGCGCGTGATAAAGTAGTAAGAGAGCGGAAAAGAGAGAGTATGCGAGCGGGAGGATTAATGAGGAGAGGGAGAGTTTATGATCCCGCGCTTAAAATTCGTCATACCGGCTGCATGACTGCAAAGGAATGTAAAAGTATCTGAAAAGGCTTTTCAATTCGGCATATATTTTATTCGTACTCGAGCACTTTCCGTCTAGGCAAATCGATTATTCCTGACACTTTTAATATAATATAAATAATATTTCATATCAAAATTCATAACCAATATATATTCCCTCATTTGACTTGGAAATTTAAGCTTAAAAAATAAAAATGATATTTTCTTCCAATAGAAACTTTATAAAATATTTTATTATAATAATTTATTATAATAATATTATAATAATATATTATTTCGCAAAAATATTCTATAAAGGGATAGAAAGGCATTTAATTTGTAAATTAAATAATTTGCAGTCAGCCCGTTGGAGGTGAAAATAATTGATGGAAACCGACCACTATCTGCGGGCAAGAGGTATGATCTAGTCTGCACAACTTCCGGTTCCAAGCCAGCAGCCCATGTCACCTGGTGGCGAAATGGTCAGCGCTTAGTGGATTCCAAGGAGACCGTAAGTGTGTTCCTTGATGGAACAATTTTCGTCCTTGTGCCAACATACATTTTGCTCAGCTATTCCCGGGCAGCGCATAAAGTCGAATTTGTAGTCTGAGATAAGAGAGAATCCCTGTATCAAGAATATAACGTTAATATAAATTTAGGTGAACTTCTGCAAATGTAGAAATGAAAGAACGTACTCTTTTTTTAAAAAATATATTATAAGATTATATTTCATTACCTGTTATTATAAAACATTCTCTTTTCTGATTGCTCTATTACTTGATATGTAAATTTAAACAAATGTTAGCACTAACTAAGTTGAACTTTTCGCATAAACGCCACGTTAAACTACTTCATCGTCCATGTTCTCTAATACATTAAAAACGCATCTGTCACCGCTAGAAAGTTTTGTCCTATGCGTGTCTAAACTTTCCAAGTTTTTTTCATGTATTTACTACGTTTTACTCCTCAAGCTATAGAAGACATACCGACAAACTTTTAGAGAGAAAGAGAGAGAGAGAGAGAGAGAGAGAGAGAGAGAGAGAGAGATCCTTCTCTTC